AAAAAAAAAGAAAAAGCGCCACAACCCAGGACTGCAACACCTCAGGATCATCAGATATGCCCTGAATCCTGTTAGAGCTAACAGGTTTCACACCAAGCCAATACCCCACAGGAGGGCAAGAGCCTGCCCCGGCTTCCCTGCATGCACTGCCGCGGGAGAAGGCAAACGGAGGGTGGGCTGACGGACAGACAGAAAGTGGGGGAATAAAACAAAACTAACCGAAAAGGAGGTGTAGGGAGAGAGGAGCGGGGGGGAAAGGGAAAGGGGAAGAAAAGGGGAAAGAATGAGTCAAAAGGAAATAAGTATAAGCAAAGAGAAGAGGAGAGAGTGGGAAAAGGGATAAAGAGGAGGGGAAGGAGGGGCAGAGAGGGAAAGGGGTAAGGAAAGAAAAAAGAGCTGGGAAGAAAAAAAAAAAAAAAAACCAGATGCGTCTCCCTGCCCTCCGGTGCGGCACCTGCCCGGCGATGCCGCGGCTCCTGGAGTAGCGCTGCGAGGCTCCGCGGGGTACAGCGCCCTGGAAAGCGATGCTCCAGGCCAGCCCGCGCCGCCACCGCTCCGGGACCAGCCGCTCCCGGTCCGCCCGCAGCAGCCAGGTGCGGAGCAGCCCCGGGGCAGGCAGGCAGGGAGCCCGGCCACSTCCCCTGCGGGCGCGGCCCCCAGCTCCTGCCCGGCTCTGCCGCTCCCGCACGGCCCCGCTCGGCACCACCCACCCCCGGTCCAGCCGGGCCGGCCCTCGGAGGCGCCGCAGCCGCTTCAGGGTCCCGCCCCTGCCTCCCCTCTCCCCTCCCCGCCCGCACATGCACCGTGCCGTGCCTTGGCAACTGCGCTTGTTGAGCATTTTTTCCTTTCTTCATTGCTTCCCCCGGCAGTGCCGGTAACGTCGGAGCCCACGTAGGACAGTCCTTTGAGACTCATGCGAACAAAGGGCTTTCTCGTGGCTCCCCGCCCCAAAGCACCGTGCAGAGCGGGGCTGGGGGCCAGGTGCCGTGGGGCGAGGGCTCTGAGCGGGCTCGGTTCGGCTGCAGCAGCCGCGCTTKCCTGAGCGGGGACCCGCCGGAGCCCTGCGCCAGCACCGCGCAGCCCCAAACCCGCTCTCTGCGGCTCGAAAGAAATCGGTGAGGAAAAACCGAGAGAAGGAACAGACGGTGGGGTGGGAAGGGGGCATACCTGGCGGGGAAGCACTGCACGAAACTTGCAGCGGTGAAGAGTAAAACTTGTCTAGGCAGAGGCAGTGTGAGGAAGACTCGGATTTCTTGTTCACTTTGTCGCATCCAATATCTGTCCGATGATAAAGATACTCCACAGGATTTGGAGAGCTGTGAGATAAGCTCCCTAAGGTGGAGCTTAGGGGTAGGCAGCTTATTATTTTAGCAGAGTACTTAGAAAGAAAACAGAAAATTAAATTTCAAGGAAATAAAAAGTTCAAAGAGAATGTGTGCCTCATTAAAATCCAAGTGCCGCAGCCTGCAGCAGCTTGAACAGTGCTTGCAGAATTCCCCCAAAATCCCTGCACATCAACATTATCTGGCATGCAGCCTGATTTGGCAGCTGGAGGCACGCTTAATGGACTCTCCTGGCCTTTCCTCATCCCAATTGTGAGTTTGTAATGCGGGGTCCCGCATCTGCACTGATCAAGAGGCTGGAAGCTAGCAAGGAAATGAGATTAGGTTTCAAGGCTCTTACTGGGACATACTGACAGGAGAAGGGGGAATAACCCCCACACACCACCACATGGATCAGATAGCTAATTTTAGGAAGGGACTGCAAGATCTCAAGTCTTAATCATCACATTGTCTAGAAAAGATTTCTTGTATATATTTATTGTGTATGCTGGGTAAAGAATTAGTGTCTAACTGCATGCAACCTTGGCAGTCCTCCCTTTTTCCCTTTTTTCTTACAGGTGTGGAGGGAAAAGATGGTTTACTAGCTGAACTTCTCATTCACTTCTGATTGTTCATAGAGCACTATGCCAAAAAAGCCTTTCATCTATAAACCCAGCAGAGCTAGTAAGAGAAGTTTCCAGTGAGACAAAAATCTGGACTAGTAGRCAAGATTTCCTATTAGTTTTCCCCATGAAGAGTAATGGTTTTTGATTGCTAATGATTTATTATAACAGTGACCATATCTTGTTGGTCTTCCATGCAAAATACAAAAATAAATCAGAGCATAAATTTAAGTATTTGTTCTCTTGCTAAACCACCTGCAAAACATCGCGGTATTGGAATCACAGTGCAGGCAGTAGGGCTGAACACCAAGTATTCTTAACAGAATGAATTGTGTGAGCTTTGGGGACAGATGTTTGCTCTCACTGTTTTCCAGCCCCTCTGCCCTAAATACTTACACAGCTACAGATGCAAAGATGTCTAAAGTTAAGTCACCAACCAGAGCTGATCTACATTGGTGCAGTAAAAAAGTATCCTCTMACAAGTACTTCCAGTGGAGAGAAAATAAAAGCATTGAAGTCATTATTGCATGTAATTATTTCAGGTAGAGAATGGAAGGAAATCAGTCTGTTGTTCTCTAACTTTGACACAAGTAGAAAGTGGATTTCTCCGTACGGCTGACATGATTACAGAGGTCATGATCCTTGGCTGATCATGCTGTCAGACTCTTTTTTCTTTTTTTAATGCAGCTTTATGACATTTCAAGGACTGTGTTTCACTTACAGTTCCGTTCATGGATAGTTTTTGTTGGCTATTACTGAAAAGGATGAAATGGATTTGCACCTGGTTTTCACTCTTCCAACACTGAGTCTGGAATATGAAGATGAGATGACAGGGTCCACAAGCTGCCCTTTCTGCCACGAGACAGGTCTGTGACAGATGTGACTGTATGACAGCTGTAAAACAAAAGAAAAAGATTCATAATTTTGGAATTACTGATGGGGAAATTAAAACAATAGAAAATATGGAGCTTAGAGGGAAAATATAAACAAAAGGGAACCAAAAGCCAGCTACAAGTATGGGTAATTTAAAATACATAAATAATTTTGCTGTTAATTTTGACTAGTTTGAAGTAAAACAGTTTGTATATGAAAATTTGATTGATGTGATAAAACCAACAATTGAGTGAGAACAAATACATCTAAACAACATTGAGAAAGTTTCAAGAATAGTTTTCTGTGCATGGCTAAACTTATATAGCTATGGTGCAGGAGAATACAACTCAAATATATTTCCAATAAAGAGGACAGCTGTCTCATAGATATGCTTTCTCTAAGTTGATATTAGTATATCATTTGTAATTTGACAGCTGCTTCCAGAATTTTAGGCTTTTTCTTGGAAAACATAAAGTATACAAAATGTTTCTAAATACCTTAGATCTCTTATACTATGTCAAAAATTTAAGTAGTAGAGAATTTGTTAAACATCATGCTTACTGCTAATTCTTGTAATTTTACCAGTTTCAAGGAAGTAGAAGTTTTCTTTTTCTGAAAATTCAGACAATGATCTAGCATTCTGTAATAAGATCTTCCCTCCTAACCTTTGTAAAAGATCACTTGTCTGACTTTTTCTGTCTTAAAAGTGTAACACAAATATTTATTTCTTCTGATAATTCAGCCCTAACATTAGAAAGATGCAAGATCCTGATATCTATCCTCAGACAGACAGAGGATCCTAACCTCACTTTTCAATCAGGCTTTAGGGCTCGAAAGTTTCTTCATAAAAAGAGTGTAATCTTACTACATTAGCCTTCTCTAAGAAAGGAGTCGCACCAATCCAGAAATCTATATTATCCACAAATATCCATAGCAACATTTACCTTTGTTGTAAAGTTTATGAGACTTGATATTCTTGCCATAGATTCCCTATACTGCTTGCACTGTACCTGAGTYAGGGAAAAAAGTCATCTTCAATTTGCAGATGAACTGTGAAAGCTGAACCTCCACATAAATCGGGGGTGGGGTGGAGTGTGCCAGAAATGCTAACACCATGTGCTGAAATGAAAAGTCCAAAGAAGATAATCACAGCTGCCAAAAACATTTTAACACGAAAAATTGTCTGACAGAAGTAAGACACCTCAACCTATTTTTGAAAATAAAGAAAAGTATATCTAAAGCAAGTTGTAGCATGCTTCTCTTTGGAATAAAATGTCTTCTGATATGGGTCAGTATTCATTTGTAGGGACAAGAGTGGCTCATGTCTAAAGTGCATTAAGGATGCGTGTTTTCTTCCTCAAACTATGTGCAATACATATTGAAAATACTCTTTCACTTTACTGTTGTGTGTTTACACAGAACTGTGATACTGTTTGAGAGGCAAATTTTTCAGGTAAGTTTAAAATGAGTTTAATTTGAATGAACTATTTCAGTACTGTATAATCAAGGGCATGCTGGGACAAATTTCTTCCAAGACACTGGCTGGCAGTTAGTACTAATTACAGAATCAAAAATAATGTGGAGTGGATTGCAGCCTGCAGTTGCCAAAATTAACTCTAAAACATATACTGGGTAAAATAGGGGCCTCATGTTCTACTGCTGTGGTGGGTTTGACCTTGGCTTGCTGCCAGATGCCTACCCAGCTCTATTACCTTGCTTCTTTCACAGGACAGGATGAGAAAATAAGATGGAATAAAGCCAGGGAGATTACTTACCTATTACTATCATGGTCAAAACAGACTCAACTTGGGAAAGACTAATGTACTGTCTATTAAAAATAGAGTGTGGAATGGTGCGAAGGAAAAAAAAAAAAAAAAGACAAAACTCAAACCACCTTCCCCTTAATCCCTCTGCCCTCTTCCCAGGCTCAACTTCACCCCTTCATTTCTGACTCCTCCTAGTTTTTCCCTCCTGAATGCTGAAGGGGCWTGAAAATGAGGATTGCCAACAGTCCATAACTGCTCCTCTCTGCCACTCCTTCATCATGGGGCTGTTTTCTTTCATGTCCCTTCCATGTCCTTCACAGTCTGCTCCAGAGTGTGTCCTTTCAATGGGTGYCTGTCCTTCAGGAACAGACTGCTCCAGCATGGGTTTCTGTCCCAGATTCCTGCTCCTCCCAGGAACCTCCTGTGTGGGCTTTTCAGTGCCTGCAGCTTTCTTCTAAACACACCCAGCTGCTCCTTAAGTGATCTTTCAYGGGCTGCATGTGGATATCTGTTCAGCTGTGGTCATCCATGAGGTTCAGAGGAGCAACCTGCACCATCATGTTCTTCTCCAGGRCTGGCACAGGAATCTTTGCTCTAGGATCTACAGCACCTCCTCCTCTTTCTTCCCCACTGACATCGGTGTCTTCAAGGCTATTTTTCCCATGTTTTTCTCACTCTTCTCTCTCACAGAGAGAATCACTATATACTGATTATAACACTTTTTGAAATATGTTATTGCAGCCACCAGTGTCACTGACAGGTTCAGCTTTGGCCAGCTGTGGGTCCATCTTGGAACTGTCTGGAACTAGCTGTGTCCCATGAGACATCCCCTAAATACATCCCCTAAATACATCCCCTGCAGAGGCCTGCCCTGCAGCCTCCACCTCACCGCACTGACTTTGCCAAATCGAACCACTTAAGATTACTTTTCGTTGGTCTGATCTAGTTTAGAAGTACTGAAAAATTGGGAAGCAAGCTCGGTATTAACAAGTCTGCTGGCAGAATGAACAACCCCTCCTGCCACCTGCTTTGGAAAGAGTGGTGAAAGCTCAGTGTCTCGGTTTGGAAGACAGGTGTCTGCTAAGRAAGGCAGGAGCCTCCC